TCTCTTTTAAGAAATTAAAGCAAGGCTAAACTTTCTTTGAAAGGCGTGCGATTATATTAGAAATACATCTTGTTCTAAAGTAGTAGACTGTAGAATTAGGTCAGGCACACCCTGCATGTGCGTGTTTCCTGCTTGCTCATATTTCTGAGAATAATTGTACATGGGAATGTTTTTGTAGATTTAAAGGAGTGTTGTCACCTTAAAAATGGGTTGTTTGGAGTTTTATTTAAGTCATCGTGGTTACGCTGTGGCTTAGGAAGAGTGGAAGATGGCTAATGATTCACTCAGGGTGCTGGTCGCAAACTGAATGGTGAAGCTTTACTATTTTTACTCTCCTACGACTCCCTCCTCCTCACGGCAGATGACAGCAAAGCAGCACATCAGCTGCCGGATGTTACGGTAAAGGGCTGTACCCCTCAGTGGATTTTGACAGCTCAGCTTCTCATCATTTGTCTTTGAAGTTTCTCTGAAGTTCTGCAAACTTGATACCGAAACTACTTTATAACAGCTCTTAAAAATAAAAACCCCAAGGGTAAGGACAAGCAATACAATGAAAAGTTAGAAACCAGCAGTGATGCTTTTGTTATGTTTTGCTACATTAAATGTCCTGCATCTAAATGGGTTTTCTCTGCTGGGCACGTTACTGTATTTGAGGGTTTTTTCACACATCCCTGTACTGTTTACATTGGTCTGTAGAAGCTAAGCTGTTCAGCTCCTTCCAGTAGCTGGCTGAGTACCATACACCTTGGATTTGGATGTGCCTCAGAATTGTTAGGGTGGGGAAGGACAGCGTGCTAAAGACTGTCTCGGCCTTTTTACATCCCAGCATGCTTCCTTATTTCTTCTTAAGAATTACTTAGCACAAGGATCAGCCTCTTTATCTCTGCAAAAATTTTGTAGCATGGATTTTGTGCCAAAAATGTGTTGCTAAATAAAGCTCTGATTCCAGTTTGTGTTTAAAAAAATACTAAATATCACTTCCATATTTTTCTCTCAACAAGAGCGTTGTCCCTAAGCAAGTTCAAATAAACATGCCTTCGCCGTGACCGTCAGCACGTGGTTTGGAGAACAGAGATGTTTGTGCACTTGCACAGCTCATTCTTAACGTTGTCGTGTTCTGGAGGGAGGAGGGACCTACGTGCTTCAAGCCAGGCAAAGCCAATGGCCAGAGTCAGATGTGGAGTTTGATTTTTGGACTGTGATACTGATTTCCTTTTTTTTTTTTTAAAAAAAAAAACCTAAACAAAAATATGACAGCCTGTTTAGGAGGTCTTTAATGCTGAATGGGACACTGAGCTTTGATATTCGTGACAATCCAGCTGTCCACCAGCTGTGACTCTTCCGCTCCCTTGCAGACTGATCCCTACCTGGTCCTTCAGGATCTGAACATCCAAACAAGGTACTGAGAAGTCAGGGTGCTCGTTTACTGCTCATGATCAGCTCCGTGGTACCAGCCAGTTTATGCTCACCCGAGGGTGGAAACCTGCAGGGAAGCAGACCTTAAAGGAAGGTGGTACCTGCTCGTGTTTGTCCTGCTAACTGCAGGGTAATTGCGGGTGCACGGTCAGGGCGCTCAAGCAGTGAGCGCGCTGGAAGGCAGCGTAACGCCTGGCTCGTTAGCGGGGCTGATCCTCTGCCTGGTCCTGAAGATGATCTCTCCTTTCCAGGTCCCTGTTTTCTGTCATAAGAGACTTCCCTGCGGTGCTTCCCAGAGCTGTTAGGAGCAATGAGCAGTTAATATTTGTAAAAAGCTTTGAAGATGGATAGTGCTAATTATTATTTATGGGTATTCATTCTCACCAGGGGTAGTTCACCTTGATCCTAGGCATGAAAGGAAACCAGGACATTTGTAAGCTGGCCAGGCCCAAGTATGGCCTTCTGAAGTCTTTATGTACTGGTTTCCCTACGGGACTGCAGAGTGTTTGTCACGTTAAATGACTAGTTTGGGTGTTAATTGTAGCAGCCAGATGTGCTAAAGGGATCCTTACTCATGTGCCTCAGTGCTGCCGAGACTTAAGGTCTAGGATTTGGGTATGCCAGGAGGGGACAGGAGACGGGAAAATAACATTAACCTGGCCCGACTGATTATCAGCAGGGCTGAGTGATTGGCTTCCCGTAGATTTAACGAGCAAATTCAGGTCTGATGCTTTTAGGAACCACCACAATTGCAAAGAGCGTCTGTTCCTGAATTTTTCCACCTCAGATTTGAGCACCTTTGGCTGGTGCTAAACTTGGTGTCATAGGAAAGAACGAGGAGAACCGTGTCAACAGCTGGGGCTTTCTTTTCCTAAAAATCCTGCTTAGCGGATTAAGCAGAAGAGAGAGGGGGAAAGGAGCAGGGAAAATCAGTGTAATGTGGTTCCTGCACATGGATGGTAGCTCCAGAAATCATTTCTGGGTAGTAGAGGGCTCTGCTGAATGGCACGCGGGGTCTCTTGAGCTGTGTGCTTGTTTCTTTTAAACCTTGAGGTGATGGACAACGATTGCGACCTTCATCCAGCCCAACTCGATTCCTGTGGAGGCTCGCTCTGTAGGCGTGTTGTGCTGTTTGACAGCACTCCGTAGGGCTTCCAGGCATCCTCTTGGGAAGGTGCAGAATGTGAGTGTCCCTCCATGCAGCTGCCGTTCGGCGTTCGCTGCTTATCGATCCGCCTCCCTGCCGAAATCCTGCTCTCTGCGAAGTAACGCATGAAGCAGTCGAGCGGTGGTGCGGGCAGCGCGTGGGGAGCGTGTCGGCATGGAGCGCTCGTGGAAGAAAGGCCTAAGGAGTAAATCTTCTGCTTATCAAGTTTTCTTAGTAGAGTTCTCGTCAGCTCGCAGAGCAAAGTCTGTTCCAAGCAAGCGCTTGTTAGCATCTCCGTCTTATCCGGGAGCTTGTTTCTGTACAGAAAAGCTGGGGGGGGAAGAAGAGTTCTTGACCGTGTGTGGGTTGTGTTCCTCCCAGCATTCACCCAGTCTCAGTAACACCCACTCTGAAGGGCTTTCCCAAGATGCTTCCTCTCCTCTCGACACGGATTCCCCCCGCCCCATCTCAAAACACTTTCCCTAAGTACATCAAACCGCAGTTTTAAGAAATACATTTTGGCTTTCTGTGTGGTTACCAGATTTTGGTCCAGAAGTATTTTATTTTCCAGAAGCATTTTGGTCCAGAAGAGAAGCTGGCTGCCCCTGGCCTGGACAGGCGCACCGTCTGCTGGGTAAAAAACTGGTTGGACGGCCGGGCCCAGAGAGTTGTGGTGAATGGAGCTAAATCCAGC